TTGTAATAGTTGGATTAATGAGTCCACTGTGACTTGGGTCTCAATCATATTTGAGTTTTATAGGAGACATCTTGAGTTTGGACAGTGACAATTCCATCCCAATTTTATTACTTTCTTTTTCTGACCTTATTTTCATTTGGTAGGCGTCATGAAATTACTTGATGAGAAACATGTGGATCATCTTACACTATCTTTATACTGTTAAAGGTGCTCAATTAATAGGATAAGGTGATGCATGGGGTTGGTGCTTGAGAGACAATATATTAGGGATAATCATATCCATGGGCATAAGCTCCATAAAATCATTTATAAATACCAAATTTATAAATGAAATGATTATATTATAATTTGGAAGTAAAATAATGAGATGTGATGAGTTAAAGGAATAATTGACCTCATCTATCATGTGAGTTTATGTTTGTGTTACAACGATATAGAGGACTTGTAGAACACATAAATATATGTCTCTATGCTGATACCTCTCATGCTTGTTAGACCTTCCTTTAGTTCAACTTTATTCGGACATATTTAGTTTAGATTTACTTTCGGTTGCAAATTGTTCTGTTCTGATGAATACTAGTAAATATTTTTGATAGACATTTGTGGTTGATAGAATTTATGAGCTATTTTTTTCTACTTATATTTTTTATATTAAACGTTATACATGTTAAAAATCAAGTTTTAGGGGAGGAAGAAAAATAAATTTCAAAGATAGTATACTGAGTTTTAATTTAATATTATTGCAAGCATGTTTTAAGCTAGAATTACTTTCTCCTAGAATCATTCTATCCTAATTATGCATGTATATGAACTTGATAGGATGTTGTAGTAGGTAATACATTCAGCTTTTAATTTTTCTTCCTGCTACGTTTTATGAAATTTATTGAAAAATATTTAAAAACTCAAGTTTGGGGGAGGAATAAAAATAAATTTTAATGTTAAACTTTATTTGTACTTTCTAGCGTGTATTTAATTTGATATCAATTTTAAAATTACGATTGGTATGTGGAGTTATCTTTAGGATACTATAACTTTGATTTTAGGAATGTTAGAAAAAAAACTTAGTTGGGATCCTATGTGATGAAACTGTTCTAGAGTTATGATATTTTGTAGAAAACATTAGAAAAAAGATTTTGCTATTTATGGCAGAAAGGAGTTGAATATTTGAAAGCTAAGATTCTTAGATTTATACTTAATGTGAATAGAGCCTTTATTGAAACCTTTTCAAACTAATACTTACATTGTAAAAAAGTGAAGGAAAGTTTTGAGTTTTTAACTTTTGAAGAGGAAAGTCAAATTTGAAATTCTTAAGAGCCTACCCAGATATAGAAATCCTCACATAAAAAAAAGTAAGTATTAAAAAGATCCTAAAGGGGAAAAGAAAAAATAAAAAGACTAAAAGAAAGGAAAATAAGAAAGAAAGAAGAAATGAAAAGTGAGAAGAAGCTTGACGAATAGCCTAATAAAAAAATTGGTTTCACTTAAATCTTTTTAAGGAAGAAGTCTTAGAAACAATGCTAAGCTTATTCTTATTTCAAAAGAGTATTGGTAAAATTGGTATAGATATGGTGCTTAAATTCAGGATTCCTAAGTTGAATATGAGATATTCTTACACCCTAGTGCTAGGTTGATTTTCTAGAATATTTCTAAGATGCATTATAACATTTATGAGATAAAATTATAGGAAAATCTACTGAAACCCACTACCTCAAATCAATAAATTTGGTTTTTGAAGTTGTAGTGTTACTTGAGGACAAGTAACGTTTAAGTTTGGGGGAATTGACATGCATAAAAATTACCTACTTTTTTATATATATTTCATGCTAATTTTAATGATATTTAATGATATTACACTTTAAAGGAAGATATTTTGCATATTTATGGTTGAAGGGACGAAAGATGGAGTCTTGGGGAAAATGGAACAAATATGGTGCAATTTGGAGTCAAATTGAGCAAGGAAGAAAATTCTAATTCAGCCCATTTTGTTGAGCAAAATTGGAGCAAAAACCCAAATAAAAAAAATTTGGTGCCAAGGCACCCGAAACAGGCGCCTCAGCGCCAGAAACTGTTACAGACAAATTTTTCTTAATTTTTGGAGTTAAAAAGCACCATTTGGCACTTGGGAAGGAACCTTTTGGCATTTTAAAGTCTTGGAAACTCCACGAATATCCAGAGGTCATATATAGGAGTATAAATGTAGATTTAAACCTTTCTAGAGAGATTGGTGAGGGATTTTGAGAGATATGTGTAAGGAAATGTTTGAGGATTGCGTGGATCGGCATGAGACTTTGTTGGACAGATTTTCATCTTTCTTTCAGAAAAAAAAGCTAACTATTATGTTCTTCATTACCTTATGACTGTTGTAAACACATTCTAGTGGATTTTCTTTAATTTAGTAAAGTTTTCTGTTGTGTTTTATCTATGCTTCGTGATGTGGTTTTCTTTATTTTTTTCTTTTAATATGAAGTAGTGATATGTGTAAGAAAATTTGTTTTATGATAGAATAATTTTTATTTTCATGTGATGAGTAATATCTCCTGTGCTTCATTGACATAACTTAAGTGTCAATAACTAATGTTAAAATCTATTTTAAGTGAAACTAAGACTCGGAAGAGTAGTGATCTCACAACTTGGGTGTACTTACATTGACCAATTCACTATGGTAAAGTAGTTTAAGTGGAAATGCAAATTTTAAGGAAATATAATTCAATGATCTATTTCTATTAAGAGCTTCTAGGTCACATATAGTGATACAACTTAAAATTACATATTTTTAATGTACATTTAATGTTCATTTTATGCACATTTTTTATGATATTGCACTTTAAAGATAGCTATTTTGCATGTTTTTGGTTTTAGGTACAAGGAATGGATCTTCAAAAAATGAAGGCAAAATGGAGTAAAATGAAACAACAACTTATAGCACCATATCTCCAGCCTTTGGTGTCATAACACTGACTATTTGACGTGATGGGTGCCATAGCACCCAAGAGTGGCGCTATAGTGCCAGAAATGGTTTCTCTAGAAGATGTATTGAATTTGGATGAATTTTGAATGGGTGCTTGAAGTGAACCTAGGTTATTTTCAGAGATCTATTTAATGGGACCAAGGGATAAACAAAAAGAGAAGTTTTAAAGTGGTTTTAAGAAGGCTTTTGACATTAGTTTTAGTGTGTGTTTAGAGAGGGTATGTGAGTTCATAAATATGAGTCTTTCATTGTGTAAGAGGAGTTTTGAGATTTCATGAAGGAGATTTCAGGAATTTCTTGGGGAGAAGCATAAGATAAGTAATTTATATTTGTGTTTGAGTTTTGTTTTTGTTAAGACTTGCCTTTTAATACAAATCATGTGTTTTTGTTTTATCTCCATGAATTCTGAATAGATTTTCTTTCTTTCTATGGGAATTAATCAAGTGGGATGAGATTAATTTAAATATTTCTTTTTATTTTATAAAATTACAATGGTATTTTCACCATTTTTTCATTGACTTTACAAGCTGGCCATTTGTGATTGTAAAAACCATTGCAAAACATAATGACTCAGAAGGGATATGATTTCACCAACTAGTGAATACCACACTTAACTTTGAAAAGTGTCGTTGCAATCATCCGAGGGGAAATGCAAATAGATATGGAGATAAATCTTGATGGGCGTAGAATTAATGTTTCTTGGGGGAGAAGCTAAGTTCTTTTATCAATTTGATCTTGAGTTTTGATCTAAGGGTCCCTAGTACGTTCAATAGAGAAGGCACAATGAGTAATCTAGAAGTAAGATGCTAGAATCTACTCAACACTACTACACAAATTGGAACAATCTTAAGGTTAGCCAATGTTCTTTGCTAGCACTGAGAGGGGGCAACAAATAAGTATTCTACTCTTTGTCACAATACATCAATTTATATTTTTAATCATTCAATTCCTACACTAATTAAGTTCTCTTTGCAATGGGAAAAATCTTTTCATTATATTCTAACTACTTTAAACTTATTAGCCTTTTAAACTTTGTTCTTACTTACTATTTAAACTTAGATTACAAGTAAATTTAGTTATAATTATTGTCGGTCATCAACATGAGAAAAAATCATTGGTTTTAAATATATTTAATTTAATATATATATGGTTTTAAAAAGAAAAAGTATTTTAATTTTGAAAATATGAGACCTAACTGATCCCATACTAACAATAATTTAAATAAACGAGCACAACACTACAATCCATGCACATATCCTGGTGAATAAACGCATTATTTGATAATGAGATTCCATTAAATAAACTAAAAAATTTATGACATCTGTTTTGGTCTGCAAAACCTTTTATGTTGACCGAGTAAGAGAGCTAAACAGTAAAAAAGAAAGAAAGGAGAAAATAAAATAGTGCACTAAATCTCTTTAAGTAGGCCACGCTTGAATCTGAGGTGAGGAGTCTTCAGCTTGTCGCCATGGAGTAGGAGGGCAAGGGGGGTAGGAGGTCTTGTATCAACAGAAATGGAGTTGGCATAGATTCCTTATCTGGTAAGCCAATTAGCAAGTTGGTTTCCTTCTCTATATATGAAAGACATATGAATTGTAAGACTTTTATAAAATGTGCCAATTTTTTGCTTCCATTGCATATGGTGCCTTGAGGAAAGCTGATTAGAATTCAACAAAGAGATTAGCTGTAAAGAGTCAACCTCAATCCATACTTTATGCCAAGTTGCTTTATGTGCAAATGTAAGGGCCTAGTAGATAGCAATAAGCTTAGCTTCAAGAGCATCATTGGCCACAATAGGAGCATGGAAGAAAAGTAGACAATTACTGGAGGAATTTCTGAAACCCCCCCACCCCTACACTCCATTTAGAGAAGCTACCATCAGTGTTTATTTTCATGGTTTGAACATCAGGAGGGTTCCAAGTGACAGTCTCAATTCTGTTGTGAATAATGGTGGTACTGGTCTGAGCCAGATTTATGTTAGGGAAGTTCTTAAGCTATATGATTTTGTTCAGATAGGCAACACAGTTTCTAGTTACCTTGTTATGTTAGATACTCTTATCATCATGTCATCATGTTTGTTGTTGTTCCTACAGATCCACAAGAACCAAGCCACAATGAAGGGGATTGACTCCCCCTGTGTACTTCTCCAGTTATACCAACCAACATTAAGACTAGTCCAGTCCTTATCCAAGTTATCATCCTTAATATTATTAAAGAGCTCTTTCCACACCTCTTGAGCAAACTCACATTTGAAAAACAGGTGGTTAATGTTCTCCTCATTTTTTAGACAAAGATAGCATCTAGAGGGTCCTCTTAAACCATTGAGTTTAAGAATATCATCAGTTGGCAAGAGGTTATTGAAGAATCTCCAACAAAAGAAGGATATGGAAGGGGATAGAAATCTGTCCCAAATGGCCTCACCCCAATTGACCTTCTCCCAATGATTTAACTTAACATAAATAGCTTTGTTCAGGCTTTGGTTAATGTAGCTTTGCCATATGATCCTATCTTTTCTGCCTTTATCAAACACAGTTCTAGTGACTAGAGATAAGTGAGGCTCCTGAAACAAGGATTGAAGCTTAGGAACATCCCAGGAGTCCCCATCCCAGAAGTCACAGGCTAGGAGCTGAGGGTTAAAGTCTGGAGGTGGGGCCCCAATCCAGTCTTTAGAACACCAGTTGTCAAGCCAAAAGTTCACTTTACCATTCCCCAAATCCCAAGTGTACATGTCTTTAGGTTGCTCTCTGATTTTCAGCATATTTATCCAGATTTAGGAGTCTCCCAGCTTTTTGGTAATAAAAGAGCGGCGTTGGCCCTTGCAATACTTGCCATACATGAATTTTTCCCAAAAAGAAGTTTCTGCTCTTAATTGAATCCACATCTCACAAAAATTAATGTGTACAACTTGTTGGAGCCCCTTGAACCCCAGCCCATTAGCTGAAATTGGTTTGGCTGCCTTCTGCTATGAAGCCCAGTGTAACTGCTTTCTTTGACTAGCCCATAAAAATCTATTCAAAGCTCTCTCCAACTAGATTTGGGTGCTTTTCTTGAGGTAGTTGGTTTGAAGGATATAAGAGGGGAAGGTAGTCAAGATGCTTCTAAGGAGAGTGATTCTTCCCCCATTAGACAGGAAGGAGTGAGACCAGCTGGATAGAGTTTTTCGAATTTTTTGTAGGACCTCATCAAATTGGGTCATTTTTAATCTCCCCCTAATGAGTTGAACCCACAGATATCTCACAAGGTCCCTAACAAGAGAGAAGCGAGTGTAGTTGGAGATCCAGTGCTTGGTATTCTTATTAAAAATTAGTTGGCAATTAGTAAGGCAGAATTCCATTCCAGAGTGTTTCTGAAATTGTTGTATGCATTTATAAACTTTCTTCACAACAATCTTTTGAACATTGGAGAATATCATAATGTCATCAGCATACATGAGATGGGAAATTGCTATATTGGATTTATGGTGAAATCTGGAGTACTGATGGTTGAGGATGTTCTGTCAAGCATTTTAGAAAAGGAATCCATAGTAATAATAAAGATAGTGGGAGAAAGTGGATCACCTTGCTTTAGTCCTCTAGAAGCAGTGAAAGCCCCCTGTAGTTGGCCATTGATAAGGATGGAGTGGTTATTATTGATAAGCCACCTTTGTATGAGATTTCTGAATTCTGGCTGAAATCCTCTAGCTGCAAGTATACCAAAGATAAAGTTCCAGTCAATGGTGTCATGGGCCTTCCTGATATCTAATTTGTATATGAGGTTACCCCCTCTGCTGATTTTATCAAGATCCAATGTGAGTTCCTGTGCCAACAACACATTATCATTAATGGATCTACCTTTAATAAAGGCAGTTTGGTTAGGACATATAATTTTGTCCAAGTGAGGTTGCAGCCTTCTCACTATAATCTTGCTTATGAGTTTGCTTATGACAGAAGTAAGGCTTATAGGCCTATAGTGATCCCAGGTTTTCTGTAAATCCCATTTAGGTTTTAGCACAATGGATGTGTTACTAAAGTAGTTGGGGAGGTTGAATCCTCTAAAGAAGCTTTTAATTGCCTCCACGACCTCTACCTTGATGATGTGCCAAGCTTTATTGTAGAAGGCAGCTATAAAATCATCAGGGTTGCTGCCTTAGAGCTGTCAATATTGTTCAAGGCTTCCCAAATTTCCTCAACATAAGGGGGTTCAGTAAGATTAAGCTGACCAGTGTAACTAGATTCTTCAACAAAGAAATCTTCATAGTCAGTATTAAGATACGCAGAAGAGTTCAGGAGGGAGCTGTAGAACTTAACAACATCCTTAGCTATAAGTTCATTATCATTCAACCATCTGCCATCCTTGGAATAAATGGAATGTATGGTATTGCATTTCCTCTTGCAACTTATATAGGCATGGTAAAACTTGGTGTTTAAGTCCCCTTCAGTAAAGCTAATAACAAAAGCTTTTTATTTGAGTATCAGATCCTGAATATCAATGGATTTATTCAAATTATTCTGGGCAGTCAGCAAATCAATTTTAGTGGCATTGTTATTCTGAACAGCAACCTCAAGTCTCTCAACCTCTTTTTCAGCAGATAAAACATTGGAAAACATATTACCAAAAGTTTCCCAACCCCACTTCCTCAAGGCTTTGCTGGTTTTCTGATGCAGAAAGCTTAGCTTGATAAGAGGGTCTGTGTGATCAATTCCCATCCAGTTAGAAGCAACACAATTATTGAAGAGGGGGTGGGTAGACCACATGTTTAGGTATCTCAAAGGAGGGTGGGGTGAGGTGGTAACTAGGAAGGTTTTGGAAATGAGGAGAGGTCTGTGGTCAGAACAAGTAAGGGTTAGGTGGGTAACAAAAGTAAGGAGGTAGTGTTTCTGCCAGTGGTCATTAACTAACATTCTGTCCAGTCTTTCCCATAGAAGACCTCTTCGAAGTGAACATAGGACCCTGGTACCCCAAGTCAAAAAAACTAGCCTGTTGTATTTGATCATTAAAATAGGTCAGTTTAGATAGGTTGGGAGGTCTCCCTCCAGACTTCTCAACTGCATTAGAGATACAATTAAAATCTCCCCACACAATCCAAGGAGAGTTCATGTTTTTGCTGATGAGATGTAAGCCTTCCCATAATTCCTGTCTGTCAGCCTTCAGACTGCCCGCATCTTTTCCTGTCTGTCAGCCTTCAGACTGCCCGCATAAACAAAAGTAGCATACTCCAAATGTCCTTGTACAAGCAATGAAAGATGTATAAACTGTTGATGGTCCATAATAATGCTCCACTGAATTTCTTTCCTACAAAAGAACCAAACTTTGTTATTTTTGTTAGTATAATGAGAGAAACCAGAGAATCTTTGGATAATTCTCTGAGAGTTATGTTGAACCAAAGGTTCAAGTATAGCAAAGCACCACAAATTGTGCTTTTTATTTAGATAAATCAGTTTTTTTAAAGACTGAGGATGGGTAATGCCCCTGATATTCCAACAAAGAATATTAATCATGGGGTGGGGGGGGGGATTATTATGGGGGGAAGGCTGAGATCTTGATCTGGTCCTTCTAGAAGGAGGAGGTCCCCTAATTTTCAAAGTTTCTGTTAACCCAACATTACCCTCTCTTAATTTCTGTACTTCAGACTGAACCTTCTTCTTCTTTTTGGATTTTTGTGTTTTCCATTCCTCTTCCAACAGGTGTTTCATCTTATCTATATCATTCTTCTGAGGAGCTTCTATAACAAGAGTAGTTTTCTGGTTGGTCTCCTTGGGTTGCACCACCTCATCTAAAGGGACAGATAGGGGTGTTTGAATATTTATCTGGTTCACCTCCTCCCTAAAAAATTTGGGGGAAGTATTTGGGGGGATCTGTGGAGCCAAAAAGAGCAGTAGAGCTTTTGGGTGTATCCAGCATGTCTTCCAAATTCCCAGTTGGAAGGGGGTCTACACCAACTGAAACTTTTGAGGGAATAGGCTGGGTAAACCTTCCCTGTTTTACCACAGTCTTCTTTGAGGGAGGGTGAAGCCTGAAACATCTATCCTTGGTGTGTCCAAACATCTTACAGTGATGACAGTAGAATGGTTTCTGCTCTAACCTCACTGTTTGCCAGAATCCCTCTGTGTCATTACCAATCCAAATCCTGTTGATTTCAGGGAGATTAACATCTCTCTTAATGAGAATTCTAGCTAGGGCAGGTCTAGATTTATTGTATGTAGGAGCATCCACCTTCATAGGTCTCCATATTGCACATGCAATATTAAATAAAGCATTGAGATTAAAGTACTGGATTGGGAGGCCAAGTAATTTAAACCATAGAGGAACTATTGGAGGTTCCTTACTAGGGTCAAAATCAGGGTCCCATTTCAGGATTTTCATTGTGGTGCCTCCATTGAATGGCTTGTTTTGTAAAAAGTCTAGCATAGTCTTCCTCCCCTGAGAGTTGTATAAGTAGGTGTATTCCATCTAGAATTCTAATCTGTCAATCATCATTAAATTTCAAGGAATCAAAGTAGTTTCTAACTAAATCCATTTTAGGGTGGCCAAGAAGAAATTCCCCCACCAAGGTAAATTTTACTTGGTCATTTAGATTAATAATTTCTTGAGGTGAGAAGT